GATATTTATTATACTGTGAAGATTTAGTCACTTTAAATAATTAGGATTTTGAAGGATCTAAAATGCCATAAAACGTAGATACGTAACATAATGTTTACAATACTGTTGGCTACAAGTCAAATGGTGTTGAAATAAAGTTAGTTTATCCTTTTGTGTACCTAGTTATTCAAACTGATCTGGCTTGAACCCAAGACATAGATTTGTATTGATACAATTGAAACTGCACAGAGCTTCATACTTTTGAGAAAAAGATAAAAGGAAAGGTTCTTGGTATGACAGGCTGCTCTTTCCATACATATGTGACTTCATATAAGTATTTATGTATTGGTCTCTGGAGCAACTTACACAATGAACGTGTTTTTGTGAGCTGATACCACACCTTGATACTGATCAAGTCCAAAGAGTTTATTTATTTCCTGATGTGAGTACTAAAACTTTCAGCTGTGCTTCTTTCTTCTCCTAAAAATGGAAAAGAAAAAAAAAGAGGCAGTATAGGAGAGAGGAAAGACAGAATTACTTGTTGTCCAAATATCCATGGTGCAGGATTGAGGGAGAGGTGAGGAGAGGGAAGGAGGAAAGTAGGGCAGGAAGTAGATGTATTAATTCTTTCACTATATCCCGAAGATTGTCAAACCCTGGGCTTTAGAGCATTATCCAATCACTTTGGACTAACAAATGGAAAATGCGTATTAAAGAAGTACAGGTCTTCTAACAGTGTAAGGAGAACCTATTAAGACATCCCATATTACAGTCTGCCTGAGAGTGGGTAGTTCTGTTGAATACCTTCCAAACATCATGCACGGCTACAACATTCTGCAGGAAAAATGTTGTGTGGGAGTGAATCATCTCAGACTGTGATGAGGGAAATTGTTTCAATGCTGATGTTTATAACTGACCTTACTGTTTTAAATCAGAGGGCACAGTTTCCAAGGGTGGCTTTCAACAGCAACACTTTAAAAACTCTGTTGAAGCTGAGAAGAATTAGTTTTGTTGTGAGAATCTGTAACATTTGTGTGAAAAGCATGTGGCCTCTAACCACTTGCTGTGCAGCTGCAATGACTTTTCTGAATGGACTGAAATGTCATGAACTGCCTTGAATACCTGACAGATTTGAAAGGTACAGAAATGTATAGCTATTTTAGCCACACTTCTCTCTACGGAGGTCTGTGAGGATTCTAGAAATTTCTAACTTAATTGTCCGATACCTTTTGTCAGTGTTTGAGGCTTACAGTGCTGTATATAGGTGTGTAATATATTGCCTTTTGTATTTGTAAAATACTACTTCTAAGACTAGATGTGTACATTTCTTAATATTCACCGAAGTCTGTGGAATAGCTGCATCAGTCTGTAGATGTCTCTTCATGCAAGTACCTGAGTTTAAATGACTGCCACACTTTCTCTCATTCTCTAGTTTGTTGTGACACTGTTCTTTATTCCAGTAACACAGTATTTCACCCTTTTTGCAGTGAAGTGTTTTTTTAATTGGACATGAAAACTTACATTCCTAATGTATAAATGTCAAGGTTGTCTTGTTTAGTGTTTAATAATTTTGGCAGCAAAATAAACTGGGTTTTTTTGAAGCTGTATGCTTTTGCAAATTCTTTGTACAGCACAAAATATTGCCTCTTTACAGACTTTGAAATATACATTACATAGCAATGTGTGTTTGTTCATTTTTCATTATACATGCCTAGAAATCATGTTAAGGTTGACTGCATTACTTAAAATGTGCTGAATACCTATTTTGCAGAATGTAGGCTCTGCAAATGCAGCCTTGGCCGAGAAACACTGACAGGTGAAGGGTGAGTTCAAGCACGTGAGTTGTGAAGTGGCAGAAGCAGAATGAGGATCCTGTTTGTAATATAGCACTGCTGGGGCAAATTGGTAGATTTGGTGGTCTTAATGTAACTGTGGTTTGATACCCAGGCATTACTTTCACTGTATATTTATCACTAGATTTTTTTTTGGTCCTGCAGTCATCACTGTGTGTGTGAGCTACTGGTGATCTGGAGGCTGTTTGTCATCTTTGCTCCAAAGGTGCATGTGGCTGGCTCGTGTTTGTCTGGTTCATAGAGACCCCCAGGGCTACTCCCATCTGGCCCCTGTGTATGCTGGTGCCTGGGCTTTGGCCCCAGAGCAGGACTTGGTGCTGCCCTTTAAACTTCCTGAGACTGATGTGTTGGCTCACACTTCCTGCCCATTGCTGTCCCTGTGAACAGCACCACACCCCTCTGGGGTATCAGCCTCTCCTTCTGGTCAAAAATGCTGAGGGTGAGCTCTGTCCTATCACCCACCTTCATCAACAGAGATGTTAAACTGTTCTGGCCTGGGTGTCAACACCTGAAGTACAGCAGTAAGGTCAGGTGTCCAGCTGGGCTTTGTGCCACTGATCACAGCCCTCTGAGCCTGGCACCTGGGGCAGTTTTCTGTGCTCTGAGATCCAGGGTTCCTGGGGGTTGCTCTGACTGGTAACACCAATGACAGTGACTACCTTGGCTATCTCCTGTCAGCAGGTCCTCTGTCCCACTCAGCTGTGGAGTCTTATTTTTCCCTAGTCTTCCTGTTGATGATGATGACACCTCTGCTAATGCTTGCTTTTGTTGGCCTACCTCCCATGCTAGATTCCACTTCATTTGGGCTTTGTCTTTCCTAACCCCATCTGTGCATGCTTGGATGTGCACCTCCTTAGGTCCTCTGCCCTTGTTTC